GCCGGGAATGAGCTCCCGGAGCTCCGAGAGCAGCTCGGGGGGTGGAGAAACCCGGCCGGAATTACCATCAGGAAGGTGAAATCGTCCTCCTTGAGGTCACTCTGGAGCTGCTGGGCCTCGCGGAGCAGGGCCTGGCTCTCCTCCGCCAGCTGCTCCATCTTGGCCTGGATCTGGTCGTGTTTCCTCCGCGCCTCCTCCCGCAGCTGCGCCAGCAGCGCCTGCTCCTCGTCCCGCAGCAGTTTGTGGAGCTTCTCGAACTCCCAGTGCACCTGCCGCTCCAGACGCTCCGACTCCGCCTGCCAGTGGAGGGGCTTTTGTTATGAACGGCCCTGGATTCCATGGGGGCTCCTTTCCTGGAGCTCTACAGCGCTCGGGGATTCATTGGGATCATTGGGATTACGCTGCCCTTCCCAAATTCCCAATCCCATCCATGCTTCCCGAATCCCCACCAGTCTCCTTTTCTTGGATGGGATCAGGGCTCCACCCCAATTCACACTAGGGAATTTGGAGTGAGGATTGGGATTAGGATCAATCCCATCTCTGGAGCTCTGAAATTCCTTGTGGTCCCGTTCCCAGCAGCTCCAGAAATCAGGGATTCACTGGGAACACGCTGCTCTTCCCAAGTTCCTGTCCATGCTTCCCAAATCCCACCGTTCTCCTTTCACTGGGATGGGATCAGCSCTCCACCCCAATTACACAATCAGGATCAGAATTGGGATTGGGATCAATTCCATCTCTGGAGCCCTGAAATTCCCTGGGGTCTCCTTTCGTGGAGCTCTCCAGCATTCAGGGATTCACTGGGATCACTGAGATTCACTGGGATCACGCTGCCCTTCCCAAATTCCCATCCCCGCTTCCCAAATCCCCACTGCTCTCCTTTTCTTGGATGGGATCAGGGCTCTACTCCAATTCACAACTGGGATGAGGATTGGGATCAGAATCAATCCCAATCTCTGGAGCCCTGAAATTCCCTGGGGTCCCGTTCCCAGCAGCTCCAATATTCAGGGATTCACTGGGATGATGCTGCCCTTCCCAAATTCCCATCCCCGCTTCCCAAATCCYACTGCTCTCCTTTTCTGGGATGGGATCAGGGTTCCACCCGGTGCATCACCAGGATTGGGGTTGGGATCAATCTCATCACCAGAGGGCCAGAATTCCCTGGGGTCCCATTCCCAGCAGCTCCAACATTCAGGGATTCACTGGGATCATGCTGCCCTTCCCAAATTTCCGTCTCTGTTTCCCAAATCCCCACCGCTCTCCTTTCCTGGAGTGGGATCAAGGCTCCACCCCAGTGTAGGATTGTAGGATCAGGATTGGGATCGGGATCCATCCCATCTCCAGAGGGCCAGAATTCCCTGGGGTCTCCTTTCCTGGAGCTCTCCAGCGCTCAGGGATTCCCGGGATCACTGGGATGACGCTGTCCTTCCGAAATTCCTGTCCCCGTTTCCCAAACCCCACTGCTCTCCTTTCCTGGAATGGGATCAGCTCCACCCCAGTGTAGGATTGTAGGATCATGACCAGGATTGGGATCGGGATCAATCCCAGCTCCAGGAGGGAACACTCACCTTGTTGTGCCGGGAGATGGACTCGTAGGAGCGGCGCACGGTCCCGAAATCCTTGGCCTTGTCCCGCAGGGAGGATTCCATGTTCGCCAGCTTGGCCTGCG